CGCGGCGGCGTACCTGTACGATGTTCTGCTGGCGCTGCAGCGGCGGGCGGGCGCGGGCAAGAGCGCGCGGCGGCCCGACGCGGTGCCCGTGCTGATCGCGGCGAACAAGAACGATCTGTTCACGGCGCTGCCGGCCGCGCTGGTGAAGAGCGCCTTGGAGGCGGAGCTGGGCCGCATCCGGCAGTCGCGCAGCAAGGGCCTGCTGGACTCGGGCGTGGGCATCGACGACATTGGGAGCGAGGAGCAGGACGGCTGGGTGGGCGAGTACGGGTCCGAGAAGTTCTCGTTCGCGCAGATGCGCGAGTTCGATATCGATGTGCAGGTTCTTGGCGGCAGCGTGCTGGGGGGTAAGGTCGATAAGTGGTGGGATTGGATCGCTGAGCTGATCTAGGCTCACTGGGAGTTTAAGGGACAAAATGACGGAATCGGGTTTCGGGCAAGGCAAAAACCTAGGAGGAGAGGAAACGGGGGGAGGGGGAGTAAAGGGTGGCCAGTTAGTTGCATACGTGTTTATATATATCTATACTTTACATTGTCGTAATCAACCATAATACCATTAATGAGTATCTGATGCCTATTGTCTTACTGAACCCTCTATAAAATGACCACTGAATATGTATACTATGACGTAGGTAAACAATCGATCAACTTGCATATCATAGTGCCCTGATTATTTGTGAATCCGAACATCGGTATACCTAGTAGGTAGGTAAAACCTATGAGATGGGTCGTGGAACAAGGGGACTCATTCATGGGATAATCTTTGAAATATTATTATTTCTACAATTTATCTATCTCCCCCAAATCGATCCCACCACCCCTCTATAAGCCGTAGAAGACGTTGAGTCTGTCGTAAATGCATGCCCCGTGCCAAGTTCCAGTCTAGTAGGTTACCCAAGATACGCGAGTTGATCCTTTCTAGTTAGAAGTGCTGTTCCAACCATATCTATATAGTACTTGGGACCTACTCTTCCACTCACCATCCCGACCGACCCAAACGCCTTGCATCATAAGAAAAAATATACATATCTGAGCAATAAAAAAACAATCATTAGGATAAAGCCTGGAGGAGTATCCCCTAGTTCAGCCGCAATCGCAAGATCTAGGCCTTAACCTGCTTTACCATCCATGTCAACAAGTCAACTTTAGTGACGACAGCAACAGGCTTGTTGAGTGCCGTCCCCTTGCCCTCGCTAGGCTCCGTCACCACGGCCGCGCTATTCCACTCGAAGAAGCGGCCCAGCTCGCTCAGCGGCGTATCGAGCGTGATCTCGACGAACTTGCGGCGCTTGTCGTCTATCTTGCCCTCGCGGGGGTCTGTGACCACCTCGTCCATCTTGCTGAAGTCGAACATGACATCCTTGACGGGGCTCTGCGCGCTCGCGCGCCCGCGGGAGATGTAACTGAGCAGGTTTCCGAGAGTCACGACACCGACCAGCTTACCGCCTGGGCCCGAGAGCACGGGAAGCTGGTCGAATCCCTTGTCGCGCATTGTCTCGATAGCCTCGGAGCAGAGACTGGTGGATATAACCGAGGTGACCGGCTTCAGTCGCAAGGAACGGATAGTAGCGCCCGCGTAAGGGTCATCGGGTTTTTGGCTCACGATTCCGTTCAAGGATACTTCCTGGGAGGCCTGGTCTGGCGTCAGGAGGTCGTTGGCAGCTAGCCAGTCGTCGTCGGCGAATTTGGTGAGATAGCTCCGGATGCTGTCGGGGAGGATAGCAACCACCACATCTCCCTTGCCGAGGCCTAGATCTTTAATGGCCTTGAATGTAGCGCTCAGGGCGCTGCCCGAGCTGCCACCAACCAGTAGGCCTTCCTCCGCAATAAGTCTTCGTGCCAGTTTGAAAGACTCCTGATCATCCGTCTTGTACCATTTGTCCACCTGCTCGCGGGCCAAGACCTCTGGGATGAAGTCGTAACCGATACCCTCCACCTTATACGGCTCGTCGCGATGTGCGTCGTTGAGGGATTCGGGCACCGCCAAAATACTGCCCTGGGGATCGGCGGCGACAACCTTGATGTCCTTCTTGTGCTTCCTTAGTCCCTTGGCCAGACCGGTGATGGTGCCGCCAGTTCCAGCACCAGCCACAATACAGGTGATCTTGCCGCCTGTCTGCTGCCAGATCTCTTCGGCGGTACCAAATTCGTGCGCGAGCGGGTTGTTCTCGTTCGAGTACTGATCGAGGATATGCGCATTGGGGATCTCCTTCACAAGTCGCCTGGCCACGCCGATGTGGCTTTCGGGGCTATCCCAAGCAGCTTGAGTAGGGGTACGGATGATAGTAGCTCCTAGGGCCTTGAGCACCGAGACCTTCTCAGCCGACATCTTCTCGGGCAGCGTGATGATGGTCTTGTAGCCCTTGATAGCGCCGACCAGGGCCAGGCCAATACCGGTGTTGCCGCTCGTGGGTTCGATCAGGGTGTCACCAGGCTTAATGCGACCGCTCTTCTCGGCCTCCTCGACCATGCGCAACGCAATACGGTCCTTGACGGAGCCACCGGCGTTGAAGAGCTCTACTTTCGCATAGACTTCGCATTCCACGCCGTAAGACTGGGGGATCTTGTTGAGACGGACGAGAGGAGTGTTCCCGATCAATTCGGTCGCCGAGACTGCAGTAGCAGCATGAGGAGGGGAATGGGGGATACCAGAAGCACCATTGGTGCCATTTGCAGATGCCATTGTCGGGTTTGTCGCGATGCGATTTGGTAGCTTAAGCTCCTAGTATATAAATAATAGGTGTGGTGATGGTGGTGGTGGTGGCGGTGGCCGGTGTTGTTATGTTGCGGTGTACAACAACAAAGTATATAAGTTGTAAGGTTGTAAGAAGGAGGAAGAAAGGGGAAAAAGGGAAGAACTTAAAAAATAAGAAAGAGAAAAAAAAATAAAAAGAGGAAAGAATAAGAAAAAAAAAACTTTCGACCGTCTGATGTTTATTCGGTACCTAAACTAGTAGGTACAAAGCAAGTTGTAGGTAAGACTTCGGCTTTGAATACCTACTACTAAATACTAATTAACCACTCTTGTCCCTTCCATGGGAGGCAAAGAAGAGAAAAAAAGGTAGGTATGAGGCAAGAAGTGGGAAGAATTGCCCCACCAAAATGCCGATGATATGCGCTGCAGGAACCGTTAGAAACTCTTATAGATTAGCGTTACCGGCTGTTACCGAAACTCAAAAATTACTTAGGGGGGTTTGGTAGCAGGTCGATGCCATACCTAAATACTGGAGATAATAGATATAAAGACTAAGCTGGCTACTCTCGATCATATTCGGTTCCAGCTCAAATTATACATATTCAAACATGCATTTTTATCATTGCACATAACCCCGATATATTCTAGAATATACACTTCTTATTGTTTTATCTCTATAAAAAACATCCCGGTTTGCTCTTAGTATTGTATTACTAGGTAGAACATGTATAATTGATCTAAAAACTACATGTGACAAGGGGTCATAGCTTGGAACAAAGAGTCATATTCAACTAATAATTCTCTTATGGTCTCAAGGAGTCTTAAGGTTCTAAGTTCTCCTGGATCCCATGTCGAGAATAATGCTCCTATTTATACACATACATTAAAAGCCTGAGGCATCCATTCCTTATGCAAGGTGGTTATCCATAAGCATGACCAATACATATGGTCCGAAACAGGGTATCATATTTACCAGCCTTGGCAGTGTCCACGTATGACACTACAAGTTTATAATATTTAATTATACAAGTTATATCAGCCTTTACATGAGGAATCCTGTGAACTATCAGTGCCATTGAGTGACGAGAAACTGATATCACTAGTGATGAGAGTATCTACAAATTGTCTGCACGAATGAATAATAACAAAGTTCGAACTAGTTGCGATTCTTGTCTATAATATAGAAATATGGTATCCTAATATAAGTTCTACGTTAAAAACAGACATATTCATGGCTCATCGAGCTGGCATAACTTCCGCCACAGATGCATTTTCCGGCGTAGACTTCATCTTCAAGGTCTGAGATGTTCATGTCTATGTTATTACCCATGCCTCTTTAGGACCAGGGGGGGGGGCATTGTATAAGAAACGGGTCGACGAGGGCATCCGGAATAGATAAGAAGCTCTTAAAGAAAACAGTAGAGAGGCGAAGTGAGGAATGGGCATATAAGAAGGACTACCATTAATGAAAACATTTATTTATTTCAAGTGTCGGTGAGTTACTGTGTGTCGGTTTAAGGGGGAAATGTGAACCTAGTCTATTCCTCTAGGGAAAGTAACCCATATCATGTTTGGATTTCCCCAAGGCCTCGCAAAATTAGGTTGAATACTGTACACGAAAGACCTCGGCTTCGATTGTTTATTGGCTATATTATCATCTACGCTATACTGTAACAATTCTTACGTGGTTGTACAAACTCGTGTAGGAACCTTTCTATAAGACATTCCTCATGAGAAGTAATGACCTGGAGAAGTTACCCAGAGTATAAAAGCTATCATCCATGTTCTTGTAAATATAACACGGTTAGTACCTACCTAGTAAGCATTTAAGTTTCTTCTTTGTCGTACGAAGTCAAATTTCGTGCCAATGTCATAAGTCGTTGGAGTCCCGTTTAATTTGTTATGAATATTATCCAAGATTGGAGATAGCATTGGAAGTCAGCGGCTTCGACAAGCTTCTTTCAGAACTCATTAGGAGATGATTTAAGTTGTACCTTATTATTTTTAGTTACAAACCCGTAATACTAACTGTACTAAACATTATCCATCATATTGATTACATTGCATGCATTACAGTATATCCCGGTGAAGCTATCCACATCTAATATGCGTAGATTTTATGAACATGAATGGCACTTGAAAATTCAGACATTAAGCTGCCAAGACTAATCAATTCTCTCCTTTCTCATTCTTACTAAGCTTACTGCCTTTTTCTTTGTGAAAGCTTACGGCAGACGAGTTTCGCAACATCCGTGCTGATTATCGGCTGTCTATAGCCTCGTTTAAAAACTCGCCGAATATTCACGGGCTTGTGGTTTAGTGGTGTAAGTTCACACTTTGAAAAAATTCAGTCTATCGCAATCCGAGCAATAACTAATTCAGCTATTAGATAATACTCCCTTCGCATCTTTCGGCAGTTTGGGAGGGGTCCGGGGTTCGATTCCCCGCGAGTCCATCTTCTTTTTTCCTTATTTCTTTTTGGTTCATCATCTACGAAGAAACTATTTCCTGAGTCTATCATCACTCGTAATTATTATGAACGTGACCTTGAAGTTGTTCATCCATCCTCGGGGGATGTCGATATTGACAACTACGATATTTTTAACTATCAATTGGGTTGTATCAGTATACTATAGTAGATGTATAGCCCCCTTTTTAATTCATTTCGTATACTCGTACACTCTCAACTAACTACCATCTGCTTACATGTGTAGTTATATATTTCCCCGAGAAACTCAATCAATATGCAGAGTCATGTCAAGAGCAGGTAGTCTCCACAGCTAATTATTCAGAAACAAACCCTTCATGAGTGAACAAGATGCGATCCTTAAGTTTCCTAGAGGAATAGGATCCAGTTCTGGCTCAACAACTGTTTTATTTCGTTTCTTTCAATATATCAATTGGCCAATGAGAGGCGAACATTCATAGAACCCAAGAACTGAAGGTTAAAAAACATTGCAATAACATTGTGGCTCTTTGATAAACTCAGGGTTAAGGACGCTACTGTCATCTAGCTCATTACAACTGATCCGCCTCGATAGAGCTAATATAGCTTGTGGGATGGTTCTTCCTAGTGGGAAACTTTTTTCTATAAACCCAAAGTGTTTATTTGCACTGACAAGCTTGCTCTACATAGAGAGCAATAATCAAATCACTCGCCATCGACCAAGAAAGCTAGCTGATCCCCAGGACAGCAAGCGGTCACTTCAAACAAACAGGGCTTGTGGTCTAGTGGTATGATTCTTCCTTAGCACTGATGAGGCTTTTCTACGAAAGAGGTTTAACCTCTACATCGTGAGACCACATCGTGAACTTGGAAGAGGTCCGGGGTTCAATTCCCCGCGAGTCCAGTGATCTCTCTTTTCCTCTTTTTGGGTTTTGCCCTACCTTTTTTTTTTTTCAACCGCCGTTAGTGAAATCCACGATCCACTACCTCGACTGATATTGTGCTTCGACTAGCCCTAGTTCACCTAACCCAGATGGGTTTGAGCTAAGTGGGGCTAGATCTGTAACTAAAGTCATAGAGAGGGAGAAAGTTCAGCCCGCATGTAGTATAAATAGTGTTAGACAGGTATTATTACAGCTATCGTCTATTTCCTAATATATAACCATCTACAATGATGACCACTGGTCTTGTAGTATCCCGGTCATATTGGCCCCCCTGAGAGGCAATTGTATCAATCGTTCTTTAACTATACCAGATGAAAAGAGACGCTCAAGTCTCAAGTTTCCGAAGCAAAAGCTGATTGAATAAAAAACTAGACTTTGAAGGGTTTAAAGGACTACAACAGAACAACCTACCCCGTATTTGTAACTACCTGGGTAAATCGAACAAGAATTATGGCATAAACCATTCTTTTACAATGGGCGTGTATACCAAGGTAACTTTTGTCTATGATGGGAGTTATTGTAACTTCCGGCAGTGTAAATACGGGGTTCTTATTCTACAGACTTGGAAGATATATTGTGAATATACCCTTTTTAGGACTAAGGGTATTACTTGAAGATACGCATTATTATACTGTTGGTCTTCAACTTATTGATATACTCTGAAGAGACGATGTTTTTGGTTCAAATGCAGTGCCTTCTGTCTACGATTGTCTTCTAATGAGAGCAATCCTCAAAATGGAAAGATGCCCCCCCCCCCCCCCTTTTTTTTTTTTACTTCCACACCTCTACCAAGTACAGGGAGTAGAATTAGCATATCGGCCTCATGATCCGTTGTTGTCATACTTTAAGACATTTGAACCCCCTTACGGAGTTAGTTTTATATGCTGAACACATAATATTTAGCATATCGTATCCAAGATATCTCTGCTTAGCGATGACTCTGTGGGCATTGCTTGGCTGTTGCTATTAGATTGATCTGTTATAGAAACAACTTGCACCTTTTGTCCATTTTGCCCAACTCCTCATCCTTTTTTTTTCTGCAAATTGATGTCGAACAAGATCACTTCTCCATATTCATAAACACCTCCTCATACAATTTGGCCGGCTTGAAACGACGGTGCCGTACTAAAGCACATGAAGGAGTGTGTTGTGTATTCCCGGTGTCTCTGGCATGACTTACTGTCCCAAGTCGAACCAATCTAGGACCCTTGATACTCATACTCATTTCGTGCCTGGACACAAGGCGTGCATCTGTGTGTAGTGACACTATGACCCTGCCGATGGAAACCTTTTAATTTTTAAGACACTGTGTAAGTGGTGTATAGAATACCAACGTATAGACAGGGCAGGGTGACATAGGCGTTTTCATTATACGTTACACAATGCATGTATACCCAGACGGGTTTCTACATATGAGATTGACAGGTGTCTCGAAACGGCGCGGGTCCTCACACACCCTTTTAAGTCCATTATCCTCAAGTAAGCGTGAATTTTGATATCGAAAGCCATGTAATTTGAGGCGTCGGATCGTCGATATATATCCATGTTCGGTAAATCTCTCGAGTGTCAATGACATAAGCCGCTGTTCTACGGCATATCCCACGTGAAATATCAAACCCCGATCTCTGGATGGTTAGCACACGCTTACTTCTTATTGACTGATTGTCCACTATTTTGTCGTTCTTATGCAGGTGAGAGTGAGCTGGCTCAAATGGATGATGGTCCCTAGGGGTAAGTTGGTATGCTGTGCTATCCCGACGGGCGAATGATGTCTACACTGCTACTGTTTGACGTTAGTGGCTTCATAAAGTCCGAAGGTCCCACGGGATATAGCTCGTTGAATAATTTCCGGACTCACCAAATCCAGGTCTCATATCATCATATGACGCTTTTGGGCGCAACCCGGGTTTATCACACCAGTGAACGAGTACGGTGCACCCGACTGCAAGGCGCAGGTATTGGAAATGCAATACACGTAGATTTCTTAACCCCTCCTTTCCTTGTTTCCCGTCCCATGGATGAGTTGGCACACAACTTATGGACGAATCCGAAGAGTAACGTTCAAGTTGAACATGGATGTGTAAGCAAGGCTTTCCGAGGCTCTGCGAGGTGTGTGCGTGCGTGCGTACGCGGTGTCAGATAGCTTTCAAAGAGGCGTTTTCGTATTTACGAACTTGACTGACGCGTTGCATGCAAGGAGGGCTGCGGAACCGCTTCCTATTTTCGACGTTGCTGCATTTTATGACTGCAGTAGATTGCATGCTGTATGTATTGTTCTCCCACGGTTCGATCGGCATATATTCGATGTTCTCTCGAACAGTTCCCGGCTTGATGTTCCGAGTTAATAAACAGCTAACTACCTGCTTGGACTAAAAATAACGTTTCTCACGTCACAGAGCTGGGTTTGGAAAGCAATATTCACGAGGTAGTATCGGAAGATGTTGAATGGGAGTTGAGATCGCTGGTTGCGGTAGCTAGCCGCTCCATCAAGCGTTGTAAGGTCGTTTCAGAGCCCAGACAAGGCTGGACACAAACTCTGGATGCGCGTATCGCTAGCCATCTTCACATGGCCAACAGTAAACGGGAATGAGGGTAGAGCAAACTGAAAGTTTGCTAACAGGTCGCATTCCAACAGACCGCTCATTGCCGTCATGCTCTACCCTCGGTGTTGCCGTAGCCACCCAGGGGGTGCACCCGAATATCATTAAACAAATTCCAATATTTGGCGTGAGTTAACCAAATATGGCGGGGAACGATGGGATAGAGCTACTCTATTGATGTCGCGAAGAGGGGACCGTATGCATGAGAAGGCTGAATAACTCTTTCGTGCTTGACGGCCAAGCAGGAGGAATGGAGCATTGGTATTGGCCAGAGAAACGACAGGAATGAAGCTAACGGGGGAGCGGGCATCGTGCAAGCGTTTACAGCCACCGGACGATTATCAAATGCGGCGCTTCCCACTACCCCGTACTGATAATCTACCTGGGCGGCGCCATCCGCCTCTCAGCCTCAGTGGATGCTGCAGTATGACCGACATTCGAAACTGTTGTTGGTGAGAGGCAGGCAGACAAGGCCTTTTGGAAGTGGCCAACTCACCACAGCCACAGGGGGGACTAGGGACTACCTGAGAATGGAATAGTTTACCATATCTGCTTACACAGTAGACGCAAGTAGAACCGATGAATGAGATGAGCGCATGTATGTAGGCGATCAAGCAAGATTCAGCAGGTTCCACAACCGATCAATTCGCTGGCTCAGCCGCAATATATCGGAGTCCCACCAAAAATGATGCTCCCGTCCCGTCCCAGGCAACTGTTGTTCTATGATGTTTCGAACTATTTGCCATCGGCAGCAAGACGTTTGACAGGACCGAACCACCTAAAATCTGCCTAGTGTAGGGCTGAATCTAAACCGTAACATGTATTTCTTTTTTCTTTCTTATTAATGTTCTCTCAACATTTTGTGTGTAAGTCATAGAGGAGTGGGAAAGCAACAAATTCATCCCTCCGACAACCCATGATTTGAGTCCTGGGAATGGGGTTAGGAATGATATGGTTTAGGTTGGTAGGACACAGGTAGGCACGTAGACGGATGCTCATTTGGATCGTTCGAAGGTGCAAGATCGTGCTACCCACGCCATGCTCCCGGCTGCCTCCCAGTGATGCCTAGCAGCTACATATGGTTCTCAATCTGCACTCGGGCGGCGTGGTTAGGTTGCCAAGCCTTTTTCGACTTGGGGGCCGAAGCTGATTCATCAAAACCCTTCATAGGATGGGGAGACTCGTGATAGTATCACTAGCTCGGTGTTATTACACTACTATGATGCCGCGCTTTCGCATTGATGATTCATGAAAAGGGGGGGAAAAGGCTTGCATCACTATCGTCATATTTACTCACTGATAGACAGCACATAAACGGCGAGAGTCCAGCTAAGGACAAAAATTATAATGAACCACCTGATATAGGTTACCTGATAGTGGGACCGAGAAACACAAATCTAACGTTTAACAGTAAAGGACGAGTCCATCTATAATGACTGTAAAAAAGATCTCTGGTAGCCTTGAGATTGCTTGCTTGCATGCTCCAGTCTCCCTGAAATCTCCTCGATTGTATTAGTCCAGATGGAAACTTGTCTTTGTTCGACATGACATGAACCCCGCGCCTATTGTTTAATTCAACAGTTCCCACCTGCGCACGACGATGAACTACGCCGGGTCGTGTTCTGTAACGTAGATCGGTCAAGACGTCATGGCGACTAGGTTTGTGCTCGCAAGGACGGTAATGACGGTGATGGCGAATATGATCTTCACTCTGGGGGGCGCCAAAAGGAGGAAGGGGGAACTTTGTCCACAAGACCCTATTAGCTAGTAGTTACGAACAGACGGCAACGTGCTTTTGATGGAGAAGGGCTCATCATCCCTTAACAAAGAGGCGAATAGTCATGGTAGGACTTCGCGGGCATTGGGAAGGATAACTTCCGGATTCAATCCACGTGGATGGAAAAGTGGATTTGTCAATATGTAATTACCTAGGTGCCTATGCATGATACATAGTATCGTGAGCATATCCCACTTTATAGATAGGGTCCAGCTAAACAGGCATCTATCAGTGCCGTGCCGCGAAGGACCCCTTTGATGCACGAGATGGATGACTTGCGGTCCTTAGCTTGGATTGATTCAGCTATGTATGGTATGTATGTATCTTATAAGTCGGTGACTTACACAGATTAGCGCATGTAGTGTAAAAGGGACTGACTTAATGTGGGGTGGAATCGAATCTCTTAGTTATAAGTCAATAACCCAGGAGGCAGACAACCAATTAATTGATACTTTGATACTTGATATATGCATGTCAATGTTATACTGTAAACTTGGATCAACATTATAAAAGATGAAGTGAATAATGCATATAGTAATGGCGGAGAAGTAACTCGATCAACCACGTGGTCGATCATCTCGGG